AGATACTTAATCAGCATTGCTTCAAGGGGAATTATGTGTTTGAACCAGCCTGTGAGAGCTGATGCGGTTTTATCAGCAAAAAGTAGAACAAATAATAGGGTGCCAGCAGTTCCGGTCACTGGGGATGCTCGAATGAGACACAGGAGATGCCTGAACCTGGGGAGCTCCCCAGGAGCCATGGAAACCAGGCTGCATGCAATAAACATGGAGCCAGCTCATTTAAAGATAGCATCTGGCCCTCCAAGTAAGTAGTGATACTGCCCAGAATCAGGGGCCTGGGGAGAGGCTTGCTTAGCTAGGCTGCTCAGGGAGAACCCGTTATTTGAGAAGTGAAGGACAAAAGAAACCAGGCATGTGATAATGTAGGGGAGCTCTTTCAGGCTGAGGGGTGAGCATGTGCAAAGATCCTGTGGTGGGAACAGATGCAAAGAATAGGAAGGCCAATGTGGCTGGAGCATGTTTAGTAAATACTTGCATGAAGTTTCAGTATGATGTTGAAAAATTGTTGTGACTTCTAGCATTAATTTTTTTTTTAGAACAAAAAAATGCTAACTTATTTGGACACAATTCCTATAGGTCAGAGCTTGGCAAACTAGGGCCAAATCCATCCCATGCATGGTTTTGTATTAATAAATTTTTACTGGAACATAATCATGCCCATTCATTGCATGTCGTCTGTGACTGCTTTCACAAGGCAACTGGCCGTCGAGTAGTTACAACAGAGACTGCAGTCACCTGCAAGTCTATAATATATTTCATTTTTTTAAAAAAAGCTCAATTATTTGTTATGGCTAGATAAGGAATTCATATGATTAAAAACTTTTAGAAGAACAAGGGATATAGTGAGATGTCCCCTTTCCTATCCCTGTCGGGTAGTTTTTCTTCCTGGGGAGAACTGATATTAATCAGTTTTTTATGTCTTTCCAGAGAAGTGTTATGCATATATAGGCAAATGCATGTGAGTTTTCTTCCTGCTGGGCCAGCAGTTCAGTATGGCCCTTGCTTTTCTGCTTCCTGGAGATTGTCCCCAGAGTTCATTTTTGTTTTTACAGCTTTACAGTGGTATATTGGATTGATGGGCGTTTAGCAAAGTTGTGATGAATACCCTGGAACCAGGGCAAGCGTGTCATCTGGGGGTTAAGTATCTAGATGTAGCACTTCTGCTTCTGGGACAAGGGACCGAGCCTGGCCAGGGGCTGTGGCCCTCCAGCAGCCTGCAATGGTCCCTTCTTAACTTCTGCTCTCTGATCTTTCCCAACTTGATATGCAAAATGGATATGCAAAATCCCTGGGTGGTAATTTGCATTTCTCTTACTATGAGTATAAATAAGGTTGAGCTTCTTTTCATACAGTTGAGCCATTTGCACTTTCATTTTTATGAACCATTCAGGTCCCAGTCTGGTTTTTGTTATTGGAGCAGACTGTATATAAAGGGTAACTGGGTAGGAGGCATTTTATAAAATACTGCATACTGTGTGTGTCATATACATAAAGAATTGAATTTAAATTTACTTTAAAGCCAAGTGTGGGGCTCGGCACCTGTGGCTCAAGCGGCTAAGGCACCAGCCACATACACCTAAGGTGGCGGGTTCAAATCCAGCCCGGGCCTGCCAAACAACAATAATGG